AATTGAGGAGCAACTGTGTAATGGGGCGGAATACTTATACTTTCTTTAAACTACTCTTTTCAAACGGAGTTAATGAGCTAGTTGCTTCTAGTTATGATGAAAAAATACATGAAAAAGTTGGTGTTATGTTTGCTTTTTCAAAGCTGGGTAGGTGTTAGGGTAGGGAAAGTTACAGATCATTGTTTTCAATAAATGAGCTCTAATATCTGAGCTATAGTTCCATCAAAGCATTCATCAGCCATAAACACTGTCATGATAAACAACCAGGCAACAAACGAGGCACAGAGCCATTTGCAGGCCTCACATGAAGTAATCGACAGATCTTGACATGATCCCCGTTCTGTCGGGAGAGTGTTTATCACATAATGGCTGCATTGTTTTTTGGACTCATCAGGAAAGCCACCACTTGTTCTATTTTTGAAAAGCCATTTACTCTGGTGTTAGCTATGCGGGGGGGTATAGGTGTCAGCGTCTGAGATGATCGGGTCACTGCTAATCAAACAGGGGTTGATGCTGTGCGTCACAGTTCCGCTCTTGATTTTCATTACCTTGAGTAAGCACCGCAGGAGGACGACACATGACTGCATGGGATACAATATTGTGATTACAGTTGTGCCATTAAAGTTAATGTGGGTAAACAATGACTAACAAGCACTAGATGCATTCACTGCATACCACATGACTTTCGAGTGAAAACGAGGAAAAGTGGGCTTAAATGATTTATAGGACTCTTGATCATATAATTGAAAGCATTGTGCATTTTATTCAAATTCATTTTTCACATTCATTGTTGAAATAATATATTACATTACATAGAATTAGTCACTTTTAGATTTATAGCAAAAGCTCTCATAGTAGTGCAAACACAAGAAGTGTTGCCAATTTAACAATTTAACAATTTACTGCTACAGAAAGTATATATATTGGGGGAGTGGTGGCCTAATTGTTAAGGCATAGGGCTTTGAATCCTGAGATTGTGAGTTCGATCCCCCACTCCCACAGACTGCCACTCTGGGTCCCTGAGCAAGACCCTTAACCTCACACTGCTCCCCAAGGGGATGGGTTAAATGCAGAGAAGTAATTTCCCTCTGGGTTATATAAAATCAAGAAAAAAAGAAGAAAAAAGAAAATCAAAATTAGTTCAAGTAGAATAAAAAACAACTTAGTAGAATATTGCATATTATTAAATGTACCACGGAAGACACAAAGCCTGATATGGTTCGTTATGGTGCAACCAGAGGTGTCAAAAGTATTATTATATATTTATTACGCAAGTAGATGTATAAATCCTACTTATACATTATACATGTCTCTTATACATATAAAAACACTTTTATAAAAGTTAGAGCATCAACTTAAGCTTTTTACTCAAGTAAAAGTACCATTTTTTAAATCTACTTAAAGTATAAAAGTAAAAGTAATGCAGAGAAAAATGTTAAGGACAAATGCCTCTACTGCACTAGCCTATAAAAGGAGCATTTTTCTACAATCCTGGATGATAACTTATACTTATGCTAAATTTTCAATGGCACCTGTGTTAAATTTAACTTTGCATTATCTTGAAGAACTATTTATGTTGGTATGTGGTGAACAAAAAGTTGGGGCATTGTTAAAAAAAACATATATTACAGAAATCTATTGGTAGCAATGGCTCATCAATGGCTCTTTCCAGATGACACTGCTATTCATGAAAACAATCTAAAAAATCTCATTGAAAGGGATGGTTCCATTGGTTACTTGGACCAGGTGACAGACACAGCTAAACTTAGACTTAGACAAACTTTGTTCTCATCTTGTAAACACAGGGTGTATACAAAAAGAAATTTAGTTCTGTAGAGCTCTCAAGACATTTACTTTTCTTAAAGTGCAGCAGTGATCAAATGTAAACATAGGACTGAGATATGATTTACAGTTTTTCCAACATTCAGCTTTTTTTTCCAGTCTTATTCAACATTCAACAGTATAATGGCAGTGGGGAAGAAGCTGTTTTGGAATCTGCTGGACCTGCATCAGATCTGAAGAATTTCAGTTGGTAGTCCCCACTGATTAATTTACTTTAACTACTATTATTATTTTATTTATTTTTATTTATTTTATTTTATTTTATTTTATACTTTGTTCCAGCCTGTGCATTTAATTTTATTTTTCAAAAGCAGGAGTTGTGATATTTCTTCTTGTATTGAAATATTNCGTCAATTTCTGACAATTTACGGGAGTTTTCGTCGAAGCCTGCAAATTGCCGTATACTGCCGCTAACCTGAAGTTCCACGACAATCTACAGTGCCGTATATTGACGAAAATCCCACTTTTCATGCAGTGAGATGCTTCGAAGCCTCTTCGCAGAGGGCAGCAAGGAGAACAGTTCATGGTGGAGGAGCTCTGATGAACTTCTCTGCAGTTCTCAGTCCTCACCTTCTTCCAGTCAGCGGTGTTGCAGCCTCCACACCACACAGTGAGACAGCTGGTCAGAACGCTCTCTATGGTGCTTCTGTAGAAGATGGTGAGGATGGGTGGGCAGGTGGGCTCTCCTCATCCTACACAGGAAGTACATGCGTTTTTGTGCCCTTTTGACCCGTGAGGTGGTGTTTACAGTCCAGGTGAAGGTGTCTGGGACGTGCACCCCCAGGAATTTGGTACTGTTGACCACCTCTACAGCTGTTGATGACCAGTGAAACGTGGTTAGGATGGTTCTTCCTGAAGTCCAAGATGATCTCCTTCGTCTTCTCCACGTTCAGCATCAGGTTGTTATCTCTGCACCAGTCCACCACCAGCTGCTCCACCTCCTCTCTGTAGTCCTGGCCCACGACCGTGGTGTTGTCTGTGAACTTCACAATGTAATTGGTGGTGAACCTGGAGACGCAGTCATGTGTCATCAGGTTGAACAGCAGGGGCTCAGGAGCCTGTGCTTAGGATGATGACATCAGAGGTGTTCTGTCCAACCTGGACTGACTGAGGTCTGTAAGGTCTAACCATAATAGTCAAGAGGCTATTTTTATGTAAAAAAAAAAATAAAAAGTGGAAAAAGACCCCTTTAGCAACATGATAATTAATGGACAGAAATGAAACACGGCTAAACACTAGTGTACTGCTGCGATGTGTACTTTTCACAGAAAGATGATAAATAGAGCCCCTCATCATAAAGACAGCAATGATCTATCCATGGGTCATGTCTAGGAAACAGACAAAGTTAAATAGAGACAAGTTGAGTGATATAAAATAACAAAAATCCCCTGGATCAAATACTGAAAATATGGGTAATAAAAAAAAAAGTTTTTATTTAAAAAAAATCATAAGATTACAAAGGCAGTCTTGGTACTTTTCAGTCTTATATTTTGTCTCAATCAATACTGTTAATCAGTAATTCACCTACAGCTCTGTGCAAAACCTTTTCTCATGTTGTCACCTTACAACCACAAATGGCATTTTCCTATAATTGGTTGCTATGTGATAGATCAACACATAGAATTTGAAAAAAACATTAATTATAATTTACATTAGCATATAAGACAACATTTTCTTGCAATCATTGCTGGAAGGCATTTGGATATGCCTCCGCAATTCTTGATACTTTTGAATGTTTTTGTTCATCCTTAAATGCAAAATGGCTTGAGCTCATTATAGTTTAATGTAGAGTGCATGCAAACATCACTTTTTTAGTGTTAAAAGAAAGTTTAATTGAATTTACTTTCAGGCGTAGGCTGGGACATTCTTACATCACAAAGTGATTTGTCCTGAAAAATAACCTCTTCCCCAATTTTATATCACTTGCAGCCTCTGCTATCCTCTCTCCTAGGGTTGCCCTGCATTTAGCTTCATCTATTTTTCTCTTCTCCGCTACAGCATGATGCTGCCATTACATTTAAAAAGGCATTTTCCTCCCACCTCAGTTATTGGCTGCTTTGCATCTAAAATCTAAATAAAATTAGTTCTTTTTAGGATCATCATGTATTGAAGTTTATTTAAGTGTGTAAGTAACTGTTACCATCAGGTGGATGGTATGTAAAGAGAGATGTAATATGTTTTCGGTTTTTTTCAACACACATTTGAGGTCACATCTGACCGGATCGCCTTCCCCCCCGTGTTGCTGTTTTGTAAATGAAGCAGCCTGCATGTGAGGTTTCCTAGGCTGTCTTTAAGCAGCTTCCTCGTTACATCTTTGCATATGGAGAGTGCTAGACCAAGTCTTCCTGTTGACATCCTTTGACCGTGCCCTCCCTTTATGCATATATCCAGCACAGAAGATCCAGTATTCAAGGACTATCATCCTGTAATGTATAAATCCACTCCTTTTTCTAACACACCAGGCCTCTCCAGAGCTGAATTGTAGAGTGATGAGATAATTCAGCCTTTGATTCAAGTGTGTCAGAGAAGGAATGCATCTAAAGGTTGAAGGACACGACTTGGGCACCACTACTCCAATTAAAATCATTGTAAAACATTTACCTTAATGGAAATAGTGTAAAGTGGATATATGTGGAAAAGTTCAAGTTGCATGAATATTCTGTAGACCTCTTCACAGCTTGTTCATTGGGGATAAGGTTAATGTCTACATACCATAGGGGTGCAACTCTGTGTCATAGGAAGCAATGCACTTCTTAAAGGTTGCCAATGGCAACGTTAAATAAACTCGATTTATTGTCTTTGACGTTACCTACAGAGAAATGCTTCAAATCTTCCTCAAACATAGGAATAGGTTTAGTAGGAATCCTGTGCTGCTTCGCTGGTGTCCGAGAACCTGTCTTAAAACCCATGAAAACATACAAACATAAATTTCAACACTTTTATTATAAAAAAACAAATCACAGCTGATTTATATTAAAGGGATTTTCATTTCCTCTGTGTCCTTGAATATTTTGTATTTACTTTATTTCTGTGTACTTTTTTTTTTTCCATTTCATTAGTGCTGCATGTGGGAGATGATTTACAATGTTCACAAAGCTGGAAGAGAAAATACATCAATTCAGATGGCTTAAATCAAAGGCACTGTTTTTTGATGTATATAAAATAATGATAAAAAATATTCTTATGTTGTAATTTATCATCAGAGTCATCATTTCACATTCATTGTTACGTAAGATCATTTTATCTCTAGGCATACTGTGCTACTTTCCCAGTTTGTATCAGAAGGGAAGGTAGCTGGGGGGCTGCTGCAGGTCCCTCTTGCCGTAGGTGCTGGATCCCACGTTAGTCGGGACGTAGACCGCTCCGATTGTGTTACTGGACCGGACCAGAAAGTCTGCTAACCTCTGGGTCACACAGGTGGCCGTGTTGCATTTTCTCTTCTGTAAGTGATGACTGAAAATAATCAAATATCGTGTTAAAACTTAAGTGGAAAGTTTCTTAACAAGTGAGGGCTTCATGACTGCGTACCTATTTGCTGCTGAGAGCCCCCTCTGTGGCCTGACACCAATGAGGCCAAGAAACCGGTCGGAGATCAGCTCAGGCAGTGACCAGCTCTCGTTGTCTGGAAGGGCTCTCTCCTGTTCGTCATCGGAGGAGGAGCTGGGACTGAAGTACCTGGATTACAGATGGGAAAGGGTCAAAGCACCTCACACTGATGACACCCTCTTTAAACTACACTAGTTCAGAGAGAGAGGAGAAAGTGGCCACTTAGCCATCCATCTTAGTGTTGCACAATGAAGAGCTTTCTCAGAGAGGTATATGACTTTCCTTCAGCTCCACAGTTACACAGTTAGGAGAGCTGTCCACAAATTGGCAAATTTACAACTAATCCATGTTTTAATGATGATGATTTATTTTAATTTGATCAACATTTAAACCATCACTGCCTTTCATTGCCGCCTGTTTATTCTCCAGCTCATTTCTCTGCTGTAGCTGCTCACCTGTGGCTCGGAGCAGTGGCGATGCAGCGGAGCAATACAAGCGCCGTGAGGAGAAACACCGGCACCCTCAGGTGATACATAGCGTTTATGAGGCTGATGACTTCCTGCAGAAAAACAAGGGTTTGGAACTATGTTAGAATTCCTTTACCCTTTCCAAGTGGGTTACTATTAGGATTCACAGTAAAATAAAAATAGATAAATGTTTCTTCAACACAGTTGTAAATCTAAAATACCCTCCTCAGAGGGTATTTTAGATTTTCTGAAAATCTATAGATGCTTTATCAGATCACAACAAAAACGTTTGTAAAAATTGTTTCTACTGTGCAGTATGCAGATTGGTAAAAAAAAAAAAAGATTGAAGAGTCAAACATAATGATAAGAATTATAATTACAGTTTAAATATAAAAATATACAAGGACAAATTGTAGATTATATATTTGAGTTTTAATAATTCATTAAATTCAAAAAGACATCTTATTCAATGACTTCTGCTTGAGCCTCCGCATATTTGTCAAAACATTCCAGCATTTTTGTTTTTCAATATGTAAAAAACATTATAGAGCATCTTTATATGAAACTGGTTTGATTTAAGATGGAATTTCTGCTTAGTACAGTTTTTTTCTGTATGGAATATCTCGAAAACAGAGAAACACATATAATAAAACTTTTGCACCAAAAATCAAATAAGAATCCACCAAAGTCCAAACTTGCAGCCGGTTCTATAAAAAAAAAGCAGAGAAAATAAGATGCATGAGCTGTGAGGTACTCACTCTGTGTTGCGTTTGGTCCCCGTCTGTCTGTGGAGCAGTCCGATGGTTTATCAGGCTGTCACAGTTTATAAGCTCTCTGCTCAACCACTTGTGACATCAGCTGTCTCCAAATATAGCCAAGCAATTTTATTTTTCACGCAGGATCAGTGAAAAAGGGGCGGCTTCATGTATATGACATCTCAGACACTCCTATACATTCAGATTCTTTCTAATATCTACAGCACATACACACACATGCCGAAGCATTTTTGGACGTCATCATCGTCATTACCATCTTCGTCAGCATTGTCATCAGCTCCCATGTTGGGACTGACCCGCCACAAACTCTCACTAGAGGGAAGAACTCTGTCAAAGTGGGAAGCTGCTTCACTGTTTGCCTTGAGACACATAATGAGGTTTTAGGTCACTAAACTTTAGACCCTGAGGGCCTCAATGGAAATGAATAATACATATGAAGATGAATGGCAGTTAATAATATATAAATCCTCTAATCAGTGTAAGATATGCTACTCAAAATAGATAGCTAATTCATAATGGGATTATGTTAAAAACACTTTGGATTCCTAGCACCTAGAAACAAATCTCTAATCAATTATGTTATTTTCACATGTAAATTCAACAATTTACATGTGAAACTACCTGACAGACAAAGATAACCTTAATAAAAATAGACTATAAATGTATGCTTTCTTTAGAGTCTGAAAAAATACTTTGCACCTTTTTTGATTTATAAATTAGCTGTATATACTAACTGATATATTTACAGATCTCAAAAAGAAGTTGGTTAAACAAAAAAGTAATCTAGGCATCTACTAAAAAAGGTAAGAAATTAAGTCAATGACATTAACCGGTCTAGGATGAGTTGTAAAATTATTTCTCGTCATGATCATGGTGCTAATGAATGGCTTGATTTCATTTCATTTCATTTACCTGCCATAGATCCGCCCAGTTGTCATTAATATTCATCTTATCCACCTACTTCAGACTCTATTTACGGCCCTCAACCAGTCATCAGTGCCAGATTATTCAAGCCTTTGGTGAGAGTTCTGTAGCGTTCCTGATTGTTTCTGATTGCCTGATTCTGACCCATTCTGCCTCTGGAGCTCTGAGCCTGCCTGTTCTGGTTCTGACCTGTTTACTTGACCTGTCCTCCGACCTCCAGGACTTCATTTTCAGGGTCTCTCTGGGTGGCGCCTGCTACGACTTGTTGGCAGCCAACCGGCTGGAACCAACCTCATCCCCTGGGCATGGAGTGATGTTTAAGACCAGGTTAGTGACTCACATGTTCTGTATCAGGTTAGTAACCAGATGTGGTTACTAACCTGTGTTCTCTTCCTGCAGAAGTTCCTGGCTTAAATGCCAATGTTGTTCTTTGCAGTTCCGCTTAAAAAAACATTTTTTTTAACCTAAATGTCTCCCTGTCTCGAAAACTGGGTCATTTTGACCTGAGCCTGACATTTCTAGTTTTAGGAATAAAGTGAACTAATGTAAGAACCAATGCCCATTAATAATGATAACATGGAACAGTAGTGAACCTTCCAGGAAGCTGCTAGCCAACAAACATTCATCTATGCCAGGTTTTTTTAACCCTGGCTCTCAGAGCCCACTGTCCTTTGTCTTAACGGTGTGTCTCAACTCAAGCATACCCAATTGAAATTATTGCATTACCTTCTTTTGCAGCTATCAAATACAGCAAAAGCCTGCTGATCACCTTTTCATTCAGATCAGGTGTATGGAGGCAGGGAATCACTTAAAACAGTGGGCCCTGAGGACCAGGAATAAGAAACCCTGCTCTATGTATACATTACTAATCCATCAGGACCCCCCCCCCAAAATAAGAATAATATCTTAAACACTGCTGGTCTCATTTGACCCTGTTAAGGCCGGTGTTCATTCAGCAGCAGTAATATGTAAATTGGGCAAAATTGCATCCATGAGGGACTTCCATGACCAGACTCAGTGGGGGCAAAAATAACCACAGCATCGCAAAATCAGCATCTCGTCAGCAGTAAAACTGGATGGGCGACGGTTACTTTGCTGCTAATGAACATTGAAAACTCCCCTAACATAACAAGTTAACCATGCTGCTATAGGGTTAGGCTGCTGGAATACATAGAGAAAACTTTTCTTCACTCTGCTTCATTCTGTTTCTTCTCTCCATTCTGCATTAGTTGTTAAGTCCAATTCTAACTTTCTTTTCTCTCTGCTTTTTCTCATCATCTAGCTTTGTGCTCTGTTTGGCTGTGACTTCATCCTGAAGGGAGACAGCAGCTGGGCTGCTGCTAATAAATGCAATTTATCGATGATCGAGTTGGATCTGTTTTTCAGTGTGTAGCCTCGTTTTTCTCCTAGACATAGCAATGGGCACAGGGTTTTACTGTGCTCTCCTTCCTTTTTGACATGAAAACAGAACCAGAGCTCATTGGCTTAAATGTTTTTGTCCACTTTTTTTCTTATCCAATAAAAATAATAGTTATGAATAACTGCTTTTCTGTTCTGTTTTTTGTCTGCTGAAGTCCTCTTGAACCGTCGGTCAATGATGACAAAAGGCTGCTCACACTGAGCCTGGTTCTGTTGGAGGTCTCTTCCTCAAGTTTTTCCTCTCCACTGTTGCTACATGCTAGGTGTGAGGGATTGCATCGACCTGCAGAGTCAATGACTTTACAGAATTAGCTAGTCTATCGTTAGATTAAAAACTTTCAACCAATCTGTCTGTACAATGTAATTGAATTCTCTTTGTAAAGTGCCTTAAAATGCCATCTGTTGTGAATCCAGTTGAATTAAAAATAAAATCCTCTTGCAACACCACATAGTTTCCAAAACTGTTTTCCCTTAAAATTGTGTGTGCACAATGGCCTTAAGCTTCATGTGACTGACCAATGACAAATCTGACCTAACATTGACCCCTGTGACATTTTTTGATACGGGTGATATGGCCTATTGCCCGGGGTGATATATTGACATAACCAGTTGGGAAAAAAAGATTCTGTAGGCTGGGCAAAACGGATTATCTATTGCTTTTAGGGATGTCCAGTCAGTAGGGAATCGAGATAGGAAAGAAATATGGCTGTACAATGCCACTGGCTAATGATGCTGACGTTAGTATCTGATTCAAGATTTCTTTTTAACCTTGAATTAAGGGTCAGTTTTTCTGGTGTTTTTTTTCAAGGGATTTGAACTGCATTTCTCATCTAAAATATGTGTGCGTCATTTCCAAAACATTTCTTTAAATGGTTTAGTTTTCACCTTTCTCAAAGACCAGATTGAGTTACTAGATTTTTCCCATTTCTTTCTGTGTTTCGACAGTAAAAATCTAAAAATGTCATCATTATTCTTTATCTACGTTACTTATCAGAGATTATGTTTTGTTCTGCTGCTTATTAAGCTTTGACCTGCTAATAGAGGTTTTAGTCTATTTTGATTTCTCTACTTAATCATATTTAACAGCCTCTAAAATGCTTGTAATACTATTATTAATGGTGACCAGACAGGTTAGAATAGTAGCATTGTTCAATGTGCGTTCCCTTATATTAACTTTGTGAATACTCAAATGTATATTTACATTTTTAAAATGAACAAGTTTCAGGTAAAGATAGCATGTTCAATGGCTTTGCTGGGATATATTCAATGTTTAAGTTATCTTCAGATTTTTTTCAATTTAGCTCTTCATTGGTTTTACAAATTTTACTGGGATTCACAATCATTTTCATTCCTTAAAAAACTAAATTGTAAATCGAATAATACCTTGAAAAATGTGCAAAATTTCAAATGAGTGAAAAAAAATAAACTTGATTTTTGTACCTATGTCATCACACAGCAAAAACCTCTCTTTATACACCTTTCTCTGCCTTCAGTTTTTTTTAAACCTTTTATAGCTGCCAGAACTTTCTGCAAGAGTCGTTAAACTTGAAAGAAAACTAGAAACAGAACAGAATAAACATTAATTTCACATCCAGTTTGCAGGTAGACCAAAACATGTTTATTCTAGATTTACCTTAATCTCTGTTGATAGTGATATCTAATTAGATTTATAACAATTCTGTAATTAATGTTTGATCACTGCTTACTACATAGCCATTCTATGTATTTTCATTAACAGAGAAATGGAGGGACAGAGAAGAGGTGCAGTGAGAACAAAAAAAGATATCTGGTATGGGTTCTGTCCAAGGGAAATGTCATTCTGACCTCCGGATAGCTCAGTAACACTAAGGAGTCACATTTTGCCACTAAGCAACTGAATCCTTACAGAAAGCAAAGGGAAGCTTTAAAGTTTTTCTGTATTTTAAGCGACTTTCACTCCCATTCATTTTTTTTTTTTACTATCTAAACTATCCATAATAGGCTGAAATAAAAAATCCAGCTTGGTTTGTTCCTGGTTTAGTGTTGAACATAATTGAGATCAAAAGTCACCTGCAGATGATTAGTAAACCTGCACCTTGAACCCACAGATTTAATGATGTGTGGTCTCTAAAAAATAATTCAGAGTATCCCACCGCTGTGTTGACTGTGTTTGCAGTAGATTATATCCAAACATCGCGATTCCTAGAGATGCTCTGGAGTGAGGGTGAAAGAGACAGCCTGTGCCCATATAAGGAGTATATACTCCCCCCCAGCTCATGATGCATTCACAAACAGAAATAAACAGCTACAGTAGCGTCACCAAGCTCCACTGGGAATATGCTTAGAGATTGACATTAACTGCATATATAAATGACTCCTTAGTCAATCAAGAAGTTCAGTTTTGTTTTGTTTACAAAAACAGGTCAGTTTTCCCCCTCACTATTAATAGATTTCTCTTTTATAAAAGCAGGCCTGTTAAGGTACATCTGTCTATAAATATCTGTTTATAATTCTTAGAACGTTTAATATTAGCTAAAAATGAAACATCAAATACATTTCTATCCAGATATTTACACGCAATAAAGAGTTAGAAACCATTTTACCAGTTTTTTCATAAAGCATTTGGCTGAAATTCATTGTGTCTTTTCAAAAGAAAAACTGTGGCTTATGATAGAATATATTTATTGAACAATTTTTAAAAGCATGTGTTTGGGATTTTGTTTTACAACATGACCCATATTTAAATTTGATCTCTAAGCTTTCTGCTCTTTTTTCCATCTTTGCTGTGTGTTCAATGGAGATCTGCAACAGACTTATTAAACCTTCAGAGCTAATTTTGCTGTGGATTTTATTTAAGGTATAAGTGTGAAGGGGCTGGTCACCCCTTTCATGTTCTAAGCGAAATATGTTCAGATATATGATGTTGTACTTTATACCACGTACAACAAAATTTTAAACAATCCAAGAGGCATTGATCAGATATTCCCTAACTGGAGACATGCAAGAGATCTGAACACTAATATGAAAATATGTCATGTATCCTCCCAGCACTCATGTCATCTTTCTGCAGAGAAGCTCTTCAAAAATAAATGAAACACAACTCCTTACTGAAGGATTCATTTTTAATTCATAACACTGATTAAAATGTCAACAAAACAATCATTTTGGCTTAACCTGCCTGCCTTGCAAAATTCAAGGTCTTCGAAGTAAGACGTGCAATGGAAGTGTTTTACATGTTAACTTCTAATAGACTAAGCATATGAAATAAAAATCACCTCCATTAATTGCAAGACCTTTATAACTTGAATTGCACCTTTATTACATATCTTAGGAGATAATAATCTTTTATATGCAAATGATTTCTAACAATGCTCTCTGACCTTTTTTCTATTTCGTGATCTGGAACTTCTTTTCCCACAACCCAAAGCCGCCTTTTCCATAAATTTAGTTCATTTTACTTAATAGAACACTTTAACCATCTCAAAGGGAAATTAGATGATGTTGTAACTTATAATGAAAGAGTTTGATACCATCTATGAGAAAGAAAACGTGAATGAACTCACCTGCAATATACATATTTATATATATATATATATATATGTATTTATGAAAAATAGACTATTATTTGCAGAGAGCTGCTAGTTTCAGGATATTTCTCCCAATCCTTCCAAGTCCTTCTCCAGTACAATGCATTCTTTTGTGCCAGAAGAAAGCTTGGGACTCCTGGACCTCGCAACCCTTTCTTCCGGGGCATCCGATTGTGCATTAATTTCACTTCGCTTTGAAGCCTTGACTTGTTGCAGCTCGGTTTCTCTGTCCGTTTTCCAAAACTGTCGCTTTAGGAGGATGATGACAGCAATGATGAAGAAATAGGAAGTCCCACTGAGGCAAGTAATCAGACCGAGGAAAATGACTCTTTAATTGAAGACAATGAACAGAGAGAAGGTTAGATTAGAATAGTAAAGAACCAGATTTGTTTGGTAGATGATGTGTTACCTGTACATGTTAGAGTCATAAATGCGACATGCACCCCTGCCTCCACACTTCTTAATGGACCATTTGAGGCAAGTGGAGTCAATCAGAGCTCCAAAGTACACTGGTGCTGGAATTCCACCTTCAAAGTGTTGCATAAAACAGAGTCTTCACTTCAGTATATTGCATTGCTTCTAAAGTGATATTTTACTCAGATTTGAGGCTTTTGTTAGAGAACTTCATTAGACTCAATGACCATAATTAAAATAAGCTTAAGTAAATCAAAATAATCTCCCAGTTACCATGTGTGTTATATCCAGCTAACACTTACCAAGAGTCCTGGTTACTAAAGCCTGAATGCCTAATGCAAGGGATTTGAGATCGGGTGAGATACATCTGTGTTTAAAAAATAAGAAGCAAAGAGGAAAAATAAGTACAATTTAATCTATTCAAATAAGCAGAAAATGAATGAAACTGTTACTGTAAGGCAGAGGAAGCAAAGTTTTAGCTTAAAACATTCTGATGACAAACTAGTAGCACTGTCTGCTTATTCTAATAACTCTTTGATTTATGTTTCATTTATGCACTTTGAGCCACTCTAACAACAAATTATGCTCTGGTTTAAGTCATTTCACCATTGTTGTTTGTTTAGGGTACTTTTAATGCTAAAAGACAGCTTAATAATTTGTTAAAGGAAGCTTTTTTACATACCGTATAATAACCATGTAGCCGGGTGTGGCTCCCAGAGAGTTGATGAAGGAACTGAGAACAGAAACGGCCATGTAAGAGGTGAAACTGCGGCTGCAGTCTTTAGCATGCGGACACTGACCCAGCCTCACTGACGTGGAGCTGCCAGGTGGAAAGGAGGTGGACACACAGCTGCAGTTGTGAAAAACCTGCAAAAGAAGTTATTGACATGCTAAAATACGCATATTTTGGAATGAGTGAGTAAACTGGCATTAAAACATTTCACAAAAATATAGACCATCTTAACAATTACGCTACTTTTGTTCTGCAAGCATCTTTGTTTGGAGGTTACAAGCTCTTTACCCAAGCAGGAAAAACGTTTACCTCTTCTAAAATCATCTTCTAAAAATTTGTTGAAATGCAGGTACCCCTGTGCAACTGTGCGATTTGTTGCAGTTTCCCTACTGTGTTCTTGCCGCGTCCGCTTGAGCTGAGGCAGCCTGCCATGCATGGCGAGACATAAGTGATTCCCTTGTCTGAACAAACAGGATCCCACTCATCTGGCGAGCAAGAGCAGTCTCTGTTACACTCTGAAAAGACCATCTCTCCATCGAATGATACACTCTGTGTCCTGAAGACAAATGGTTAAAATATTGAGAAGATATAAGGTTTATTGTCAAGAAAGAGTATAACCAGGGTTGTATTTTTGCTCTTTGTCTTAATGCTGACCCATTGTAAGAAACAGTGAGTCCAGCCACAGGCCTGTTGTCACATTTGGTGCCAAACTGCAGTAGTAAAAGGAGGTACCCCATGAAAGAGGTAGCAAACGAGAGCTGAGCTCCAGACACCACACTCAGCTTGTACCTTCTCATCAGCAGCCCCCCTAAAAAGATTCCTACGGCTACTGCGGGTAGGTTCAGCACTCCTGAAAGTAAAAAAAAAAAGAAGCAATGTTTATCGGAGAGAATAGCCGAATGAACATCATTGTTTTTTTATTTTTTATTGCTGCAATTCCCCCCTTTCACAAGACACTCCCATAGGGATGTGCGGTCCTGGATCCCACTATGCTTGGGGACAAAGTAGCTGCTACTTGCTTGTCTTATTATCTTTTACTGTGGCTCCTCAGCAAGCCACATTATAGAGACCATGTGAATGAAGGACCATGCAGTCCACAGTATTTAGAAACTTCAGTCTGCCAAAAGCTAAGTGGGCTTGTTGGTAAACTCAGAACCAGATTCTGCAGAACCGACCTTCTGCAATGTTTCTCTCTGAGTTAGCAGGAAATCAATGAAGGGGGCAAAGACTGGATAAACTGAGTAACAAAGGATGGAAGCCTCACAGTTAGGTCATCCATAGAACAACCCATCAATGCTTCCCTGAACTTTGGAGATACCTAATCTCTCCAAAGCAGAGAGAGATCAACGGAAGTTAAAGTCTGGCAAAGTTTCCATCTAATGAAGTTGTGTATTTGATAAATAGGGATCTTTTCATGTGTTTACTGTTGTGTAAAAAACCTAAAAGGAAGCTAATGATGACAAAATGGTACAGCATCCTGACATGTCTCAATCTGTTGTTTATAAAGCAAACTTGATTTTATGCAGGGTTTAAACACTAATATATCTATCCATTCATTCTTTTTCCCCCGCTTAGTCCTTGTCAGCAGTCTATGGCACTGTACACCCTGGACAGGTTGCCAGTCGCAGGGCAACACAGAGACACACAAAGACACACATCCATTCACACACACACTCACACCTAAGGACAATTTAGTGAAGCCAATTAACCGAAGAGTAATGCCTTTTTTGGACTATGGGAGGTAGACGGAAAACCCAGGGGAAAACCCACCGATGCACAGGTAGAACATACAAACTGCATGCAGAAAGACCCCGGGCCAGGACTGAAACCCAGAACCTTCATGCTGCAAGGCAACAGTGAAAACCGCTGTGCCATACATTAACAACAACATTTTTTATTAGTTCCCTTGCCTCTGCTACAGTAGCTAGTAGCTCCATTATCTTCAAAAGTTCAACCTAGTAAAAAAAGAATCTTGGTGGTCTTTACCATAACTGTTCTCTCAGGAAGAATCACTGAAGTGATTTAAACAAAACATTAAATAACATTATTTTAGCAAATAATGTTTTATTCACCTGCTTGGTTTTGTATTGCAATTAGTTTTTAAACCATTCAGATTTCTCTAAATTAGTTAAAAGCTTATGGGCTCTATGCACAACTCCACTTCTCTCTAACCCAGTGGTCTCCAACCCTGGTCCTCAAGATCTACTGTCCTACAGATTTTAGATGCATCCCTGCTTCAACACAGCTGAATCAAATGATTGAAAACCTTTTCAAGCCATTCATTTGATTCAGCTGTGTTGAAGCAGGGATGCATCTAAAATCTGTAGGACAGTAAATCTTGAGGACCAGGGTTGGAGACCACTATAGCAGCTCCTTTATTTCCCTTCTGTCAGGCTGTGTGGAGGTTTGAAGAGGATCAAAATGCATAGACAGAAGCTGAAGTGGTTTCCTGCAGAGTCAATAAACCAAAAGGTGGCAACTGAGGAAAAAAAATCCAAAAACAACAAAATAACAAAACCAAAAACAACAGGAGATGTCAGGGAAAACACACACGAGGATCAAGGAACAATGAGAAACCAAGCAGTAACTGAAGAAAGGAGTATATATTCCAAACAGAACAAAGACTAGAGTAATCAAATGATTGGGAACAGGTGCGGACAGAAGAATCTAGAAGGGAGCTAGGAGAAGGAGACTGGCACAAGACGACAACAGAGGGTAAACAACAAATACATAAGAACTCAAATACAACCAGAGAACAACTAAAATACCACAAAATGGAAATGAAACCATGACACAGTCTTTCATTACGGGATAAATTGATTCATCCAGGTGGTCCGGCCATTGTTCTCATGGTTACTAGGGTCAGGCACACCTGGATTAATCAGTTCATCCAGTAGAGAAAGACAGGAAAAAAAGAGGCTGCCTTAAATTCAGGGAGTAGTGGAGTCGTGCATAGAGCCCATTTGACCTCAATCCAAAAACTCTACTTGATCAACTTTGATTTTCAAACTTAAAATCCATGTCAAACTGTAATTGGATTGCATAATTTTAATAATTATAGAATCAAACCATAGTTTAGTTGAGTTCACTTGATTAGTCAAGTTTTTTAAACGAAGTATGTTTTCCTATTGTGTTGAAAATGTAAATGATAGACTTAGACTTAGACAACATTTATTGTCATTTTGTATACAAAGAGTGTATGAGAGCAAAATTTAATTTTGTTTTGTATACACAGAGTGCATACAAAACATAATCTAATTTATACAGTTCTCATAACATTTCCATTTTCTTAAAGTGCAGCAGTGATCAAAAGTCAACATTGTGTTAGGAACTGTTTGTGTGGGTTGTGTTTTTGTTTTGTTATCTCCTTCCACCACCAGGTGGCGCACTGTTCTTGTTGGTCCTCCCACACACCTGCGGCTGGTTGGCTCATTACTGAGGACTATTTGAGCGGTGGACTGTCACTACCTCAGATGCCAGAGTGTTTGCAAGTTTTGGGTACTCTAGCCAAGCTAAGTTTTGCAGAGTCTAACTGAGTCTCTGTTTTTTCGCCGAGCCTAACCTTGTTTTTTTGTCTTTGCCTTTCTGTCAGTAAGCCTTCCTGCAAGCTGGATTTTTGGCCTTCTTCCCCTGAAAGGATTGTTTGAGTCTCATACTGAGCAGGGGATTAACTTCCACAAGTTCCGTTCAAGTCCTCCTAGATTCCCAAGTGACAGTCAGCTCAATTGCTCCTCAGGATCCAACCAAGTCTAAACCTGTCCACCCTCCAACGAGTCTCAACCTCTGGATAAACCCACACTAACTGGATTGTGGGAGAAGAGGTCTTCTCAACCAACATGAGTCCCATTTTCTCTGTCTCTTCAGTCATCGCTCAGAGTTCCCACGAATCCTGAACTAACCGCGGATACTTCCCTTCCCTCTTCCAGTTCCGGTTCACAAGCACACTGAGTTTCCTGAATCCTACCCCCGCTGTCCTTATCAATAAACCTGTTCAAATCTTTACCCTGGTTCTCTGAGTGGTTTAGTGCATGTGGGTTAGATCTCTCAAAAAAATCATGACACATTGTGGGAGAAAACGCATTGTTATGGTCAGTTTGATGCAGAGTCTGTGAGATGATTTAGAGTTTTTTCAACATTCAGCTGTCTGATGGTGGTGGGGAAGAAGCTGTTTTGGAATCTGCTGTACCTTCACTGAATGCTGCAAAGCCTATTCCTAGAAGGCAGCAGGGGGAACAGTGCATGGTTGGGATGAGAGGGGTCACTGATAATGTTACGGCTCGAGACATGCAGCACTGGGATCAAATGTCTTTTATGGAGGGAAGAGGAGCCCCTATCATCTTGTCTGCAAGTCTCATTACTCTTCTTACTTTTTTCCAGTCTGAGGCGCTGCAACCTGGTCAGAATGCTCTCTATAGTGCTTCTGTAAAAGGTTGTGTGTAAAGGTAGGGGCAGTTGGGCTCTCCTCATCCTCCGCAAGAAGTATGCGCTTTTGTGCCCTTTTGACCAGTGAGGTGGTGGTGTTTACAGTCCAGGTGACGTCTATGATGTACACTTTATGGAATTTGTTGCTGCTGAACACCGATTTTTCCTGAACTCAATGATGATCTCCTTCATTTTCTCCGCATTCAGGATCAGGCTGTTATCTCTGCATCAGTCCATCAGCTGTCCCACCTCCTCTCTGTAGTCCCTCATTGTTGTCATCTCTGATGAGGCCCACCACCGTGGTGTCATCTGCAAACTTCACGATGTGATTGCTGGTGAACCTGGGGACGCAGTGATGTGTCATCAGGGTGAACCGCAGGGAGTTCAGGAAGCAGCCCTGAGGGGAGCCTGTGCTTAGGGTGATGATTTGAGAGGTGTTCTGTCCGATCCGGACTGACTGAGCTCTGTGAGAACGTCGAACAGCCAATTGCAAAGGGGTGTATTAAAGCCCAGCTGTTACAGTTTTCCTATCAGATGCTGTGGGAAGCAGAAAAAAATAAATAAATAAAGATGCTGTGGGATGAACAGTATCCGTACGTGGGTGTTCTTCTCCTCCAGGTGTGCTAGGCTCTGGTGAAGAGAAGAGGAGATGGCGTCTTCAGCTGAGTGGTTTCCTTGGTAGGCAAACTGGAATGGGTTGAATGATAGGGGGAGACTGGAGACAATGTGTTCTTTTACCAGCCTTTCGAAGCACTTCATCATGATAGGAGTCAGCACGACAGGCTGGTAGCCATTGATGGAGGTGACCTGAGGCTTTTTTTGACCAGAATGATGGTGGCAGACTTGAAGCATGCTGGCACTATTGATTGGTCCAGCGAGGTGTTAGTAATCTCTGACACCAGCCGGCTGACCTGCACACTCCTTGTACACCCACCCAGGTATGTTATCGGGGGCCTAGGGCCTTTCTTGGGTTGACTCTCTTCAGAGTTTTCCTCACTTCAGCTATGGAAAGGATAAGTGCCTACTCCCCCTGTTATGGAATGGCTTTTACTGCTCTCCAGCTGTTTAGTGTCTCAAACTTGACAGTTCATTTAGGAAGTGAGCGTTTGCTTCGTCTACCAGGGGGTAGGGTGTGCTGTATTCTGTGATTGCCCGTATACCATTCCACATCCTCCTGGAGTTGCTGGCATCTTGGAAAATATCCTGGATTTTCTGGCTTTAGTTCTGCTTCACTGATCTGATGACACAGTTGAAGTTGGCACGCGCCCTCCTCAGTGCTTCCGTATACCAAGACTTGGAAGCTGATTTGTAGCGTGAGCCCCTCCAGGCTAACAGCATTGTCCGGTATAGAAGAATGAAGCCATGACTCAGTCTGAATGATGCCGCAGCAGTTACCGATATATGATGTTATGATAATATCTATTGTGAATTCAAATCCTATTTAATGTAAGAAAAATGCCTTTTAAGTCCATCTTTAATTGTTTTTTTTTTTTTTACTAGTGTTTTTTTCCCCCACTTTTTCAATTTCAAAAAACAATGCGTCTAATTACAGCTCATGAAAAGCATTCTATGTCTTATTAAAATAAAATTCTGTGGGATTTACCGATGAGGAAGTTGGCTCTGGATGCTGATTGTCCAAACTGCTGCTCCATGTATTTGGCTTTGAAAGTGAACAGGCCTATAAAGGAGTTAAACTTCAGAATGCTCCCACAAAGAAGCAAGAAATAAGCAGGGGTCCCCAAGAGACGTTTTAACGACGGAAGAAACCCTGTAATACACAAGAAAGATACAATAAAATACTCAAATATAAATTTATATTTCCATAGAAATAATATTTCTACTTCAACCTTTTGCGATTTCAGTTATCTTGAGGTTTTGGTTGCTTCTGAGCGCGCTGTCTATCCCATCCAGGGTTAGGGACACAGGAGTTGGTTTGTCCTTTTCATCCCCTTGTCTGGGCAGGGAGCGTGGCAGGAACCAAAAGGGGATGCTGGAGATGAGTAGCAGGGAAGAGGATACAAAGAATCCCATCCACCAAGCACCTACCCAGCGAGAATCCTTTGGAGTGATGGTGATGCTTTCTGCATCGGGAGAGAATATAGTTTAGTATTAAAATCAAGAGCAGAAATCAAGGAGATTTTTCCACTATCTTCTGCAGGTTTTTTTAATTTTTTTTTTAGGGTTTCTAAATGCTTTTCTTGTAAAAAAAAATCCAGACTTTCTAGAGTTATTAGTCATTTAACTTAGAAACCCATACAAGAAAAAAAAACATTTACTGAACAGTCATGTTTCTATACTGAGCAATGTTGAAGGAAGGAAGGAAGGAAGGAAGGAAGGAAGGAAGGAAGGAAGGAAGGAAGGAAGGAAGGAAGGAAGGAAGGAAGGAAATTGCAATGTGAAGGAAGGAAATTGCAATGTAAAGGAAAGAACAGAGACAGGAAGTAAGTACACTATAAAGGCAATAACAAGAAGGGAAGGATGCAAGAAAGGAATCATGGAATTAACGGTGTAGGACACAAGGAAGGAAGGGATGAAAGGAGAAAGGTAGAAAGGAAGGAGCCAATGATTCTGGGCAGAGAGAAAGAATGAAGAACAATGAGGGGTAAATCATGGGCACAAGAAAGAAAGGGGAGAAGAAAAAAACTGCATAGACTAGGTAGAAATGAAAAAAAAAACTGATATAAACTGATATAAAATTGCACAGCAACCTAATAACCAGATTGGCTCATGTTTTGTGTTTTGAGTTTTCAGTAATGTGAATTTATACTGGAACAGCTCATTTAATATTTTTGGGAACAATGAATAATTGATTTGATGAACTGAGTTAATAATGTCCCCAAGGAGACTCAAAAAGAGTTCCCACTAACCTTCAGTGACAAGTGTGCCACCTGTTCTTGTGCACATGTCAGACATTTTGCCCAACTAACAGCAGGCCCAGTCTAAATGAGGCTCAAAACACAATCCCCTGTGTCTGCCAACAAGCGACTACTAATTTAACTTAAGATGAAATTAGGCATTAACAAAGAAAAAAAATCCTGTCTATAACCAAAGTAAAACATATTAGTTAAAGGAAAGGTTCTGAGTTATGAAATTAAATGTATATATAACTGTATATTAGTTGTTGTTACAGTATTCATATTATTATCCAAGAATTTAACAACCTTGTCATTGAAATATCTAATACCTCTAGTAAAATCACCAGAACATGTTCTTGAAAGGTACTTACATAATTGATGCAGCCAAACTTACCCATATCAACATATCCAATGTCAACATAAAGTTTAGCACAATAGGAACCCAGCAGAAATCCAAACATGGGGCCCAGGAGAGTGATAGTTTGAAGACAGGCTGCCAACATATACAGACAGTTAACTGTTCCTTCATGACCCCAAAGTTGCACTCACAACTCAAAAGATGGTAATGGCTCACCGATGTAGAAAGGGGAGTTTTCTGCTTTAGCGAAGTCATCGATGTACGAGATGCCCAGAGGCGTGACAGGAGTTTCTCCGATGCCACGCAAAGCGTTTCCAAGGAACACATAGATCCACATGTGGGAACTGGACTCTCTCACACAAGCTGATAGAAGCAATATACAGACACATAGTGAAACCATATCATATGAAATTTTATATTCTTGTTTTTAACTGTTCTTTTTTAAGATTTTGAGTAAAAATAGTAAAAAGAAATGTTGAATTTATGTATTTATTTGTTTATCTATTTCATGATGTCGTTACGTGTATAAGGGTAAATGATGACTTTAGGAATGAAAGATGTTTTGATCATCCCATCACAGGATACAGCTCTGATACCTTTGTTGTCTTCCACAGAAGGCTCAATCTGAATTCCTGGCATGCCATCATTTTTCAGCGGATCCACACATGCTGGGATACTCACACTACTGTTCTGGAGAACCTGGATAACTGTGTCATATTTATAGCTGGAAAAATCAAGCCACAAAGAGAAATTTCATATTTTTATGATTTTTAATAAAAATCTTTTTTGCTGTCCATTTCAATGCTTTTATAAATGCTTACAGTCCCATGAAGAAATGCGTCAGACCGGTGAGAAGGGCCCCGATAGCCATTAGTAAACACCCAGCAGCGATGAATCTGGGTCGATGTAGCTGGGCCCCAAAATGGCTGACCATGGCGAGAAATAGCAAGTTACCTAACCAAGGTAAAAAAAACATGAAAAAGGATTAACTCAGAAAAAAAGAAACAGAATAAACAGTTTTGTTTCTAACAGCAGAGAGATCAGTTTAGCGACGGTAGTACCCATCTCAAAGCTGCCATCTATGAGACCAACATGTGTGCTTGAGAGGTCAAAGCGTCTCTCGATCTGAGTGATGGAGCTCTTCATGTAGGTGCCCGTCAGGGCTTTGGAGAAGTAGGCGAAGGAAAGCGCCACAATGAACAGCTGGGCAACACAAAACAGGAAGGGAAACTTTAGAATTCGAGGATCAATTTATTTTCCAGCTGAAGAAAGTAAAACATTATTACCTTTCAATACAAATTTGGCACAGACCTTTGTTTAACATTGGTTTTCAACATGTTTCAAAATTTTGTGGAACCGCGTTTTGTTGCAGTTGCAAATATGATTAAGATTAAGGTTGGACTTTAACTAGCCAATTCTTTTTATTTATTTATTTTTTTTTTTTAACAGTGTCCTGTCTGGCAATGTGGCAATAAAAATAATTGTCTTTATGCCAAAAAGATCCCAACAGAATTTGCTTTCACAAGTGGAGCAGTATGGCTGTATGGTGTCCCGCTTGATTTATTCATTTAAATAGCTTAATTATAATTCATGCAGGGAGTATTAGAGATTAGATGGATACTGCAATGGAAGTAGAACAGGAAAGGAAAAACAGAAAAAAGAGGAGAAAATTTGAAATGATGAAATTGGCTAGCCAATT